AAAAAAAAAAAAAAAAGAAATCCCTTAGGGAGAAAAGACAGGAGAGTTTGACATGATAGTTTCAGTCTCAGATAAGGAGGAACCTAATGATTTTGAATCAATAATTTTCAAGCAGGGATTTTAAAATTAGTGTCTTTTAGAAAAACTTCAGCAGTCCCCTAACAGTATATGCATGTTTGTGTGTGTTTTAGAAAACATCAAACTTTGCTCTTTCCTATAAAATGTATCTGGTAAGAAGTAAAGAATCAGTGAAAGGAGAGACATGTTTTCCTTTGCTCCGAAAGCACCTTGTCCTGTCCATTCCCCCAGATACATCTTATATGATAAAGTAAAAATTAATATATAAATGTTTATAGACTTTAGCTCTTTTCTAAGGAAGATTCTACACTTACCTGTATTCTAAGTACACAGAGGTGATGAGTGACTCCTAAAGGGCTAAATTGAGAAATATATCAAAGGGATGATAGTTTGGCTGGAATTGTTTGAAAGTGTGGCACTTACAAGCTATGCAGTATATTAGGAGAAAGACAGGTGTGGTAGTTAAGATTATAATATGTCAATTTAGGTGGGCCTGGTTTTGAGAGGCTGGACAGCTGATGGTAGTTATTCCCCTTGATAAGACTGGCAACCAACTCCATGGTAGAATCTGCCACAAGCAGCTAAATAGCTGCTTTAAGGATGTGGTCTGCTTCCCATATATAAGGAGAAGCTTTAGGAATGATCTCTAGCTTTTTTGGCATACTTGAATTGGACTCTGTATGTAGCTGAGTCTTCATTCAGCAGCCTGCCATGCTCTGCCGATCTTGGAACTTTTAATGGACTTGAATCAATAGCCTGCCATGTGGTTTGGTAATATCGGGACTGTGCCTTTTTACTTGTGGATCTTGTGTTTGTCAGCCTCAGCAACCATCAGCAGTCTGATGAAAACATGCCCCTAGCCTCAGTGGGCTGGGAGCAAGAGTCAGAGCTGAAGCCTAGGGTCGAGAGGTTTTCACTCAGACCCTAAGTCCCGGCACTTAGAACTCAGACTCCTAGGCTCCTAAATAGTAAGAGAATAAACTCCTGTTTGTTAAAGCCATCCCATTTGTGGTATCTCTGTTAGAGCAGCACTAGGTAACCAAAACAATGGGGAAATATGATGTTCAGGAATTTTGCTATATTATATAAATAGAATGTTTCCTTTGCTGCCCTCTTCAACAAAGATTTAGATTATGTTTAAATAATTTATGGGATAATTTCTTTTCAGTTTAAACAATTTATGGGTTATTTTCTTTTGAATGTGAGACAATGATAAGACAGCATTAGGAGGTCCAGCTTTATCTGGGTTACACTCACTCATAAATCCAAAGAGATCTTGAGAGGTCTAGGACTGTGTAGTGATGATGCTAATGATAAAACTGGAGTGAGAGAGAAGGATGTAGCAAGCATAGGTGTGGTGAACTGCACATAGCAGTATTCTCTGGGCAGTTACTTAAGTACTCAGAAAACATATAAAAGGAGCTAATCTACTTCCATAGGAGCTCTGGTAGCATAGTGGCTAAAGCACTTGATTGCTAACCAGAAGGCTGGCGGTTCAAACCCACCAGCCACTCCTC